GATGCGGGACTCGATCCCAGGACCCTGGGATCATGACCTGAGCTGAAGGCAGTCGCTTAACCAACTGAGCCACCCAGGCGCCCAAATTTTTCTTTTCTAGATTAAACATCTACGTACATGATAAAAAGCTTCAATGGCTATAAAAGTGTAAATGGTAAAAGATATGTCTCCCTCCCACCTCTGACCTCCAAGCTCTCAGTCTCCCTTTTCTGGAGGTAACCAGTTACCACCATTTCTTATTTTTCCTTCCACAGATATAATATATGCATGCAATATGTATTTGATGATATATTAAATTTTTTTTAAATTAAGTAACCTCTGTGCCCAAGGTGAGGCTTGAAGTCATGACTCTGAGATCAAGAGTCGCATGCTCCACGGACTGAGTCAATCAGGTACCCCTGTAAAATACCATTTTAATTACAAAATTCCAGGCACCATGATATGATGATAGATAGGGAAGGGAGAATCTTCTTAATGCCATGTGGGCAATCACTGCTCTAATGACAGGTCCTGACCCTTCTCTGATAACAGTAATTGATATAAAGATGACAAATTTGTGAAGGGCTATGGATTTTCTTGACTTTATTTTATATTTCCAACTACATTGTTAGATGTTTTTCTAATGCCTCAAATTCAATATGGAATCGAATTGATGATATTGTCTTGTACCAGAGGCCAGATTCTTCCGACTTTCTGATCTTGCACCCTCTTCCTTCACATCCCAACTAATGCAGTACAATTTATCCATGAAACACCCCTCTTACGGGTCCCTTTCCATTCCTGCGTCTGTCACCCTGGTTTAGCCTTGTGTTGCTGTGTACTGATAACCCCTTGGTGTTATCAACGTTCCAAAGACGGCAAAGTACATTGGATGCCAGGTCACTAGACTGACTCCCAAGCACCTGGCAGGCCTGAGTTGCTCTACACCCTACAATTCTCTGGGCAATTTCCATCCCAGACTGTCTCGAGTTGACAGATCTAAGTCTCACCGTGCAAGACAGATCCCACAGAAATTCCTTCTTTCTTCCTTCCCCCAATCAATATGTATTGAATGTCTTTTATGTGACAGACTCTAATAGTGGGGATACCATGGAACAAGACACTGGTGGGGGTAGAGATAAAGAAGCAGGTAATAAATGGCAGGGGGCAAACCAGGCAAAGAACTACTTGAGGAAAAGATGTCTAAGCTGAGGCTTGAAGCATGAATGGGTTTTATCTAGGCAAAAAGGGTGTGTGTGGGAGGGCTGGGGAAAGAGCGTTGCAGCCTCAGAGGGGATTGTAAGCCCAGAGGCAAAAGGAGGCATCAACCTCAACAGCACTGATCATCTGGAAAATGCAAATCAAAACTACAATGAGATATCACCTCACACCTGTCAGAACCGCTAAAAATCAACAACACAGGAAACAAAGGTGTTGGAGAGGATGTGGAGAAAGGGAACCCTCTTGCACTGTTGGTGGGAATGCAAACTGGGGCAGCCACTCTGGAAAACAATAGGGAGATTCCTCAGGAGGTTAAAAATAGAACTACCCTACAATACAGCAATTGCACTACTAAGTATTTACCCAAAGAATACAAAAATACTAATACAAAGGGATACATGTACCCTGATGTTTATAGCAGCATTATCTACAATAGCCAAATTATGGAAGCAGCCCAAGGGTCCATCGATTGATGAGTGGATAAAAAAGATGTGGTATACATACATATATAAAATGGAATATTAATCGGCCATAAAAAAGAATGAAATCTTGCCATTGCAATGATGTGGATAGAACTAGAGAGTTTAATGCTAGGTGAAATAAGTCAGTTGGAGAAAGATAAATATCATATGATTTCACTCATGTGTGGAATTTAAGGAACAAAACAAATGAGCAAAGGGGAAAAAAAGAGAGAGGCAAACCAAGAAACAGACTTTTAACTATAAAGAACAAACTGATGGTTACCAGAGGGGAGGTGGACCGGGGGGATGGGTTAATAGGTGATGGAGATTATGGGGAGGGCACTTTTTGTGATGAGCACCTGGTGATGTATGGAAGTGTTGAAGCCTATATTGTACACTTGAAACTAATATAACACTTCATGTTAACTAACTGGAATTTAAATTTAAAAAAAAGGGGGGGCATCAGGTTGGAGAGCCTGAGACACGCAGGAGAGGTGGCACTAGAGAAGTTGAGAGGGTGGGGTAGGCAGTACAGGAGTGGACTTGAGATAAAAGAAGTCCACCTTCTGGGAGGACTATGTCAGCTATTTCTAGACTCCGCATCTGCTCTGAAGGTCGTCTTTTTTTTTTTTTTTTA